ACACATACTATTTTCTGAGGCTGTTTTTCTCTGCCTTTCTATATGCTTCATTGAATGACTTCTAAGTAGCACTGTGATATAGTGGAATTGTATAAATACATGTTGACATCATGCCATCATTTCCAGATAATACCAGAATACCTTGTTCTAAATAAAGCTGCAGATATTCAAGGAAAGCACAGGAGAGGCTCTAGAAGAGAATGACATCATGTAAAGCACTCAGAAGAGAGGAATAATGACCATACAATACATGCCTCATATAAAACCTCTAAGTATTCATTGCCTACAGTTGCAGACTCCATGAAAGTTATATTAGCCTTCCAGAACTCAGTGCTCTCCTCAGTATGACTGCCAGTGTTCCTCAGCCAGACAGCTTCTTTTGTTTGTTAATGAGGTTGTTATCCAACCCAACTTCCAGGCTCAGGGCAGCGTACAGATTTCCTGCCCTTTATTTTACCCTCTCGACAACCCTGTGAGGTTATAGTGAGGATCAAAGGCTGAGAATGTTTGACTGGCCCCAGCTCACTATGAGTGAGTGGGGATTTTAGCCAGGGTCTCCCCTGCTTTAATCTGGCACTCTGATCCTGCTTACTTCAACTTGGTACTCTCCACATGTGTCCATGTACAACTTCCATCATCCCTAGGCAGCACAGTCTTATGTCATGCTGGCTGAGGATGAGAGTTGTGGGCCAGCATATCCAGGTTGAGGAGGTCATGGCAGCGCTCTGGGTTCTTTGATGAAAAGTTTTTTCAATGTTTCAATCTTTAAAAGTTCTAACAGAACACAGATTAAATATACTACAACTATTCCCATCCACACCCCATCATTATAATTGGAACAAAAAGACAGCATTAAACATTAAAAATATAATTCTGATGGGGAGTTTAGAATGCTTCATCACATGATAGCTCATCATCACAAGCTTCTCACCCTAATTATCACAGACCTAAGTGGTATGTACTCCCTTGTATTCCAGGTGGAGTCACTGCCCATTTAACAGGTACAGCTTTTCCTGGCATGGAATTCAGTAATGAGGAAAGCTTAACCTATTGAATTCCAAATGTCCATGCAGGCTTTGTCCCTGGAAAAGTGTTACAGTTGCCCATGAAACCCGTTGCATCCACGTTCCATGCAGTGCTGATAAAAGGAATCCATGGGTTGGGGAATGGGGGATAACATTTTCCCAATGGCAAAATATTGTGGTTTAAGTACAAGGGAAATGCAATATCCCATTAGCAGAAATGCTTTAAGGAAAGCATCTGGGTCCTGCGCAATGAATCAGTAACATCTGTCCATGCATTTCATTACAAGATTTGTTCTGTGAGAAATCCGCAGACACCAAACAGGGTAGTCACTGACTTGAGGGTGCTTCTGGGGGTATTGCAGCTCTAACGATCAGAACAGTCATTCCATCCCTTCTATTTTAACAGGTTGTGCAGCACAGGGAAAAGCCATATGAAAACATCAGAGGGCCATGAGTGGAAGAGGCCAGCCCAGCCCTACTATTAATTAGAGTGAGGCGGTCACCTTGGGCAGCAGGTGCTGGGGAGCAGTGCTGATGGACACCTGGCTGTTCCTCCTGAACTGTTCTCCTCTGCTGCAGCCCACACCACCTAACCTGCCCCACCGAAATGAAGCTGTTGCCTCAGGTGTGATGGCAGATGCCATCCCCTTGCTGGTGCTAAAGATTCAATATCAAGGACAACTGATTTCTGTACATGACCAAAGGAGGCGTCACCTTCTTCATCTCAGGCAGCAAACTGGCATGGTCTGGATCCCAAAAATTCTGTGAACAAGGTAGGGTGATGGTGCCATAAATGTGCCTTTGTTCAGAGTAAGCTTTCTGCCTGCCAAGCTCCTCCTCGCTTACTGATAGTAAAATATTAGTGACACTCACCTGCACTGAGTATAAACAGTTTAGCTTCCTTGTTTGCTCTCATGTCGTCTTCCCTTTGTCTCTCCCAATCCTTTTTGCAGTTGCCAAAGATTCAGTTACTGTGAAGTTTTATCTGAGTTTTATCTGAAGTTTGAGGAAAAGCCGATTTGCCTCTCAGCTGCAGTTTGTCGTTTCCCTTCTTCTGGCTGTACGTGTTCCTTCCACTCCCCTACCCTTCCCCTGTGACACACCCTCCCACCCTTTGACCAAGAATGACATCCTGTGGCTCCATACCACTTCTACTCTTATCTTTCTCTAGCTCTGCCTTTTTAGTTTGCCCTACCCTCACCTAAGCAAACAAGCCACCCTCCTGATTGTCAACAACACACAGGACAGGAAGGAATCAGTAAGGTATTTTAGACTTTCAAGTGAGCATGCTAGTACAAGTACCAGGAAAGGAACACTGAAGTAAGCAAGATGACACCAAAGCTGCTCCAGATGATGCACCTTATTTATTTGATAGCTAAAACCTGCTCTTTAAATTTTACTCGTTTAAAAAAAAATCCTAGTTATTACCCATGTCATCCTGGTGTAATTTCTATTTATTTCACTAACCTGAACTATGTCCTAGGGGGAGTTTCATGTTATTCAGCATTGTCGTTGCACAGTGTGCTAAACATTTTCCACTGTTTTGTTCCCTCCTTCCCTCCCTCTCTTTCTGACACCCATTTTCTCATCCTTTTCTTTTCTGGTGGGAGAGTTTCAATCTTTCCAGAGTTTGATGTTTAGCGAGGATTTTTGCAGTTAAGTCAAAGGTGAGGTGAATTGAAGTTGAGGGTGGATCCAAAGACTTCATCAGGTTGCCCCATCTGGTATATAGAAATATATTTCTGCTCTGCTCACTTATAGGGTATGGGACATGTTAAACCTACTCCCACAGTATGAAGCTGTGAAAGCTGACATTTGGTATACAAGCACTCCAAGGCACCACCATTATGAGAAGAATCCAGGGATTTTTCATTTCAGACAATGAAGTCTCCATGCAGAATGAGACAGGCAGGCAGACCAACAACCTTTCCCAACCTGGTACCCTCTAAATGGATCAGACCACAACTCCCAACATCCCACAGCCAGCAAATTGGGAAAATAAATTTAAGGTAAATCAGGTTTAGTGAAAAGAGAAGATCAGACTTGAAAGAACACAAATGACAAGTAAGAATTTGGTCATTATTAGTAAGAGAGATTATGAACATTTTCCTTCATATTCTTGAAATATCCTGAGATGGAATTTCCGGTAACAACCAGAAACATCAACAAATTTCTCCTTCATGCGGTGGAACCACAGTTTGGTCTATTTGCAGTGACATTCAGGAATATATCCATGCTTGTGTAATGAAAGCTGTATTGACAAAGTCTTTATATACGTTCAGTTAGTAAAAAGTATTTCAAATGTTACCATGATGTCTTAAGAGGTTTCCATGTTCACCCAAGTGCCAGAATGGTGGAAAATTACAATTGTTAGCAACCATGTGTCAGAATTTGTCATAGAGGTATCGTGACAATCTTTCCACCTAGGAGGTTGTTCAAATTCTCCTTACATGGGATCTGTTTGAAAAACTGTGTACATTTTACCTTTCTTAAGAACAGGAATTTTTTTATTTAATAATATATGAATCAAAATATTTAGGATGAAAACAAAACATATAAGCAACCAAGTATAACAATTATACAATGTAGCAAGGAGCATCATAATTCTGAACCTTTCTTCTGGCCTTATACAGCAAAGACTTTCCCAAACAATGCAGTACAAATGGAGAAAGTGGCCTATAAATTTAACCCCAGCAAAGTCTCAGGGGGACAAAACTGACCATTGCTGTCCAACTGTTGAATTACTGATCAAATCTTACACTCCTATAAATACACCATTTGCCACTATTTTTACCTCAAAACTGGCACATACCTGTCTCAAACTGACCTCTCCTAAACTGCCAAGTTTCAAATCAGTCTTCTCAGTTGTTTTATTTATTTATTTATTAGATTTATTTATTAGATTTAATTTAAGATCCTACCTTTTCCTTTTTTCAAACAACTCAGAGCTGCTTACATCATTCTCCTCCTGCTGCTGTCAGTCTTATTCCCACAATGACAAACCTGTGAGGTAAGTCGGCCTAAGAGTCTCTGGCTGGCCCAAAGTCACCCAGTTGACTCCAAGACTGAGTGGGGACTAGAACCCAGATCGCCTAAGTCTCAGTCCTCCATTCTTAGCTACTACATCATGCTGACTCTCAGTATAAGAGATTATAAGTGGTAGAACATATTGCCCTCCTATTCCGCTATACTGCAGTGCCACCTAGAGGTTAGGTGATGGAAGAGCAGGAAGGAGAATGTTCATGTAGTGCTTGGATCTCAGTTCTGAGACAAAATCAGACAGCTAATTGACAGTGAACTAACAATTTATAGACTTATTTTGTGCTGGCCTATGATGAACAAGAAGAAACTGGGTCTAAGGAGGAGATACTGAATATTTTTGGCAGGGAGAAAAGCTCTTTCCTGATTCCTGAAGGGACACAACAAAGGCCCCAAACAGATATTACTTTGAATCTGCATTGGACAGCTCACTTGCTCTGCTTCAATTACTGTAGACACAGGAGCCCCCCTCCCCAATTTTGATCTTAAAAGCCCTTCTATCCCCCACATTAGGGTTCCAATTTGGATGTGGAGTAAAAATGGGGGAAAGGCAAAGTTTTAAAGTAAGTTCTGTTTCGGTCCTAAGGCATAAGAAGCAAACCAATAATAAGATAGTCCGTCATATATTTGGCTCATTTGGTTAAGTAAAATTTGTCGATTAGTAGGGATAGAGTTAAAAGCGCAAGCAGGCATAGTCTGAGAGGCACTGCATTTTGTCCTGTTACCCAATAGCTGGTGCCTGAAGATGCTATATTTAGAAGGCTGATAAAGTTTGAAGCTTCGAGCTGTCCTGCCCCTTTGAGAAGAAATCACAGAGAGGAATGAAGGACAGCTCTTATCCTAGCTGTGTTCCGTGGCCAGTTACCCACTTTTTCAGTTTGGTGTCAACTATCAACAAGGAAAATTTGTGCTGACAGGAGACGCACATTCCCCCACCAGAAACAGTAAGTTAAGCTCTCATACCTTCTACATCCAGATTTGCTAGGTCATTGTGAGGCAGCCGCCGCCACTCACCCCTCACCCCTCCTTCATGGAGGCACAGCGACATTCCTGATATTTGAGACCAGCTGCAAAGGGTGGGAATAGGGATGGTGTCACAGGCCTTGTGGGCTGCCATGGAAAGACATTTCTATAGGGAGAGTGATGGAATGACAAAGAAGCCTGAAGAAGCAACTGAGGTTTCTCTAGATGATTGCACTGCAAACCAGGACCCCAGGGGTACCTTTTTAGATTGGGAGGGGAGCAGTGGAGATCAAAGGGAATTCAATGTGCAGATGTGAATCAATGCTCCGCTCTTCGATAAATAGTGCATTAAATTACAAATTAACCTGAGTATAGTTTCCACTGAACTTCTGTGTAAACTTACATGGGTGCTAATTCCATTGTGCTTAATAGGACTTTTCAGTAGATATGCACTAGGGTTGCTCCTTTAATTGCATTTATTCTGCTTATTTTTAATATCTCATAATATTTACAGCTCTTAACTATTAACTCAAATATTCTCTCTCTCCCTCACTATTTTTTTAAGTTTGGGTCTTTGGAGTGCATCTCTGATACACAAGCCTATTTAACTGTTTATATGAATACTCCGTTAATGGGTACAGCTAATTGGTAGTGCTGTGGCAGCAAATGTAGTTGCCCTCTGCCTTTCATTGACATGCTCTCCGGAAAGCTGCTTTGTCTTCCCCATCTCCAGCAGCTGGTACTGACTTATGGCAAGGGTTTGCCTCTGGGCTTTAAAATCACTTGGGATCACATGTTTGCCCTTGATCCCTTGGGATCTGTTTATTAGGGCAAGCAAACCCCCATCCCTCACCTACTCAGCCTTCTCCAGAGATGGGTTTGTGCTTTAGTGCATTCCTAATTTTACTCTCTCTCCAATTCTAGCCGGTTCCCACAGCAGCCATGGCAAGTGCTGTGCATTCAGAGGGTGAGCAAGTGGTACCTGATGAAGAAGGGCCTGATGTGAAAGCAGTGCAAGCCCACTACCTCCGGAGTCCCTCTCCTGGCCGGTGAGTGGTGGCTTTTGTTCTTGTTCGCATTTTTTATCCTTCTGGCCACATGGAACAAATTACAGCCACTTTCTCTTCATCCACACCCCTTCCTTTTTATTTCACAGTAGCCCAGCATATTATCCAAAGCCTGACCAAGAACAGAGCCCTAAAGGGTTTTTTCTTACTCTTTTCAGAAGCCAGGATGGAAAGCTCATGCATTATTTAGCTAATCTAATTGATTCAACAGAGGTTTCCTACAAATACTAAGGGTTATTGGGGAAAGCATTATCGAAATTTGATGAGGCGGGACAGAAAGAAACAGAGCCCACCCAAGCTGAACTGTGTTTGCTTCTGCCTCTCCACAGTTCTGATGGATTTGAATTCAAGTGTTTGATTCAGTTGGTTTTACAGATTCAGAATCTATGCACAGGCAGAATGTTCTGCAGAGTGGGATTCCCAGTTAACTGTGTTGCATTCAGGTTGCAGCTATTTTTGAGGTTTTCTTTAGCCACTTTGTTTTAATCTATCAGTGGTAGCCTTCCTCAATGCCCCAAATATACAATCCTAGTTTTTCTCACTCATGAGAATTCCATCTCTCTCTCTCTCCCTCTCTCTCTCTCCCTCCCCCCCTCTCTCTCTGTAGCATCTCCTTGCACCTAAAAAAGTTCAATTATTTCCATTATGATTTTTATCTCAGAAATAAATGTAAGAACTCCAAAAACATATGTTGTAAATGGTTGTTTTTGCCGAGTGACTCTCTGGTTTCAATTGATTTTTGTTCTAGTTTTAATAAGATTTTTTTAATGGAGAGAAACAAGTGAGATTCACCAGTTCTAACTCTGAAAGAAGGTACTTAAGAGTCTTCATCAGCAATAACTTTTGGCCACTTGAATTTCTTTAAGGAAGGGTTCAGCAATTTGAGTACTCCAGATGTTCCAGGACTGCAGCTCCCATCATCCTTCAGCACTGACTATGTTGATGGAAATTACAGTCCAACAATTGCTGAAGGGCCAGAAGTTCTCTATCCCTCTTTAGAGAATGAGCTGCAAAACAGGCAGATGGCGGGAAAAGAGTGAGTGCCATTTTTCATAGCATTTTCTTAATGAAAAGGCAGGTTACTAATCAATAAACAAATAGATCTCAATCCAGGTGTTGCCCAAAAGGTCCGTGTCCTGCTGTGCTTTTGCCCAAAATACACAACAGAGGAAGGTTTTCTTTTAAAGGATTTATTCTCAAGAATTACTGGCTACTAATGAATCATTCCAGATGGCACACCTGAACAGTCTTCAGTTGGGTCTTTTATACACTGATCATTAAAGGGTTACACGTACCACAGTTAACTTCCCAATAGGTTACAGAAGTAAAAAGCTGCAATGGCATGATCTTTCCCACTGGCATACCAAAGAAGATGCTCTGAAGGAGGCTAGAAGACAGGGTGCTATGACATAGAGGAGGAGGAGGATGGGCTGGGCTGGTATGAATTGCCCTTTGTTTGCACTACTGTTATCTGTCATGTGCCAACTAGTTTTCTCTGGACTGGTGCCTGGTCAGTGTCATGTACATTTCAAGGATGCACACATGCTGATTTTTGAAAAACAGGGTTTCTCTTAGGCCTGGTTATGGGTCAATGATTGCATGATTTAACCAATGAAAATTCTGTCTATTGATTTGTGCAACACAGATTTTTTTTAGCCTCTCAGGAGGGCTAAGAAGTGGAATGCTAACCTATTCATTCCATATTAGATGTGGCATCCTCTGATTGCTGAAAACATAGAAACAGAGCAAGTCAGAAGGGGCTTCCTAGGCCATTTAGTCTGACCCCTGGTTCCAGCTGGCTCCATTCATGACATGGCTATAGAAACATAGAAAAATAGGAATGACTGCATCACTCTCAAACTATGGGCTTGTCCAGGATTTGAACCCAGGACCTCTTGCACTAAAGTGAGAATCATACCCCTAAAGCAATCCAGCAACTTCCTAATTTGTTTCATGTTGAAATGAAGCATGCTTGGGGTTTGTGTTTGGAGGAGTCAGAGTAGGAACCATTTTGAGTATGGAATACAGGAAGTGGAAGGGGAGTTGAAGGGAATGACAGTTGGGATGATAGTGGGGAAAATGTTGTCAGTTGACAGCTGGAAAGCAATGAGCATAGAGCAGGACTGGGCAATTTGTGACTTCCAGATAGTTTGACCTACAGCTCCTCTCATCTCCCATCATTGAGTATTTTAGCTAGAAGTGAAGGGAATGGCTGGCCAAAATTCTGGATGGCCACAAGTTGCCCACCTCTGATACAAAGGCCAAAGAGAATCACATGAATAGAAATAAGTTTAGAACAGGAGATTATTGAATGGGTGGGAAATCTTTTTCATCCTCTCAGGGACTCCTACCCTGACTGGCCTAAGGTTTATTTGCCCAGCTGCAAAAAATAATGAACAATCGACAAGATTAAAAACAAAACAAAACAAAAGCTTTTTATTGAAGCATGTACACAGCAATACAGAGCAGCCTGCTCTTTCTCCATAAGAAATCAGCACCAACCATTAACAAGCCAAATGTTTTAATACCTTTAAGAGCAAACTCAATCATTGATCAGTTTGACCTATCCTATCTGCATTTTGATCCCAACTTCTGCACAATTTCTAGCTAGTAGGCCACGTTCCACATTTATCTTAACAGTGGACAGTTATGCAGAAAGTTAGATGCCAGCAATTGTCTTCTCAGTGCACATCCAGTGGTTCTTATGCTATTAGAAAATTATCAAGCTAAGAATGCTGCCTCAGCCGAACAGTTTCTGTTAAACTAGTGTTAGTGTTACATTCATACACAAAAAATGTGCATTTCTGCCTTGCACTGTTAGACAAAGTTTACAACTTGAGGAATGCTCTTTGGGTTGAGATCTCAGGAAGGTTACAAAGAGCTCAAGCATAGGGAATCAGAAAAGTTACATCAAGCTCGAGATCACATTCCTCCTTAAGTAAACCACCAGACCCCACATGCTAGATAGGGACAGTCCAAGAGCTAAACTGGGTGGGACCAGAGCTGAAAATGAACAGGGTCCAAGCCTCATAAGCACACCCCATTCACACACATCCACCCACTTCCCCTAGTCACAAGACATTCCCTCTTTTCCATTCACATACATTAGGATCATGGTTTCTTGCTGAATACTAAGAAAACGTGCTACCCATAGAGAAAGGGAGCCCCTTCTTCCTCTGCAGATATTTGGACTTAACCCATGTCATGTCTTCAGTGCTTCCTGGCTGTTTTTCCCAGCCTCATTGAGCAACATAGGGAAACAGCTGAGCATGGGGTAATGTGGCTGAAGGGATAAAAAGAAGTGTAGACAGGGCTTAGTGGGGCCAGGGCTAGATGGGGAGGCTTAGCACGTAAGGGATCCATCCTGTTGAAGCTAAGCAGGTCTGAGGTCAGCCTGAGCTGGGAACTGAATGTAACCACCTTGAGTTCCACAATGGGAGAAAGGTATTATGTAAATATAACAAACAAACGAACAAACAGACAGACAGACAGACAGACAGATAGGCTGCCAGTTCCCCACCCATACATTACTGCCTCTAAGCCTCCTATTCACCTCAAACTTCAATTTCCATTGTCCTCAAATATGTATTCCTGCTATTCTTAACACCTCGGCATTTGTCAGTGAATTCCATGCTTAACGTGTCTGAAGACCCACCTACACAATGCTTAGTACATGAAAACTGGTAAATACACAGCTAGGTACTGTCCCCAATCTAACTTCCATATGTTCAGGTGAAGGTTCGGAACAGCATTTTCTAATCTGGGGCTCTCCAGATGTGTTGGACTACAGCTCCCAAAATCCTCAGCCAGCATGGCCAATAGCTGGAAACACATACCGCTGGGAACTCATTATGCCAGTCATTGGGTGAATGTGTGAAAAGACAGGAGTGGGGGCAGCAAGTGCAATTTCCTCACTCACTTTGCTTTTGCTGCAAATGTGAAGAGGGCTCCTATTTTAAAGTCCACCCCTAAGAGAGATGGAAGGATAAATCAGGCTTTGTAGGCTTGATCGTTTTTTCTTTACTTTGATCTGTCTCTGTTCACATGGTTGGTGATGAGAATGGTTACTGCTAGCCAAACCATCTGTCTTATTGCAGCTTAACTACACTTGGCCAAGTGCTATTTTTCTTTGCATATGGCTCATTTGCATGTACACTGGTAACGATTGCAAATGCATTTTTCCTCCCAAGTTTCAGTCTTTTATAGGAACTCCCCCTCCATCCCTCAAGAGGTGCGTGCGAGAGAGAGAGAGACGATGTATTTATATATTATTTGTATGTATGAGGGATTGTAGCTTGTGGCACTAGGTGTCAGTGGGGTACCAGTCCACTACCCAGCAGAACAAAGAGAAGGTGATTTGAACACCGTCAAGGTTCTTTCTTTCTGCTGGTCTCTACAATTCTTTGGTTTAAGGATCTTAGTTCAAAGTAAGGAGACAGCATTCAAATGGACATCCTCCCATGCTAATAACAGAGGGAACATCCTTAATGCTGTGATAAGTACTTAGAGCAAGGGGTGGAGAGCTTTTTTCCTGTGAACAGTCATTGACTCATGGGAAAATCAGTTAGGGGCTATACCTAAAGTTAGGTGGAACTACTTATGATACTGGGTGGGGACAGAGACCAAAATATGTGGTTTGAGCATTTTAAGACTGAGGAGCTCTTTTTCTGTGTGCTGCACACACACATGAGCAAGTAGAAGCAATTCCCAGCACACAGCTATTGCATCTAGACAGCAAAATGGTGCTGAGAGCCACAATCAGTCTGGCGGCTGCAAGTAGTCCATGAACTATAGCCTCCACATTCCAGATCTAAAAGATATTTTCAGGGAAGAAATTCATTTATCTCATGCTGATATAGGAAAACCGAGGCAGAAGCTTCAGTGTGCAGAATTTGAGTGGTGCAACTGGAATCTAAGTAAAATTACTAGATTTCTTAACAAAATGGTAGCAGCTCCAACTTTAAAAGGCTGAGACAGCAGGGAGTGGGGTCAGAAACAGAGCAAGTTTTGTTTTCCTTTGACAAAGGAAACAGAAAAGCAAAACACCGGCTACATGAACATCTACTTTTGCCCTTCCTTCAGCCCATCCCTCTATCTTAGTGTGGATTAGGCAAATCTTAGTTGTTTGCAAACTTCAACCCAAGACAACACTGGATTCCTGCTTTCCTGCTTCTCCTGGCCTTCTCAGCTGCCACAGGCATGGGAGCCTTACTGGCCATATACTGTTTCATGACCAGTTGCTATGGAGACCAATTTTGACTAATGCAGCTGTCAGACAGCCCTGTGTTTACAATATTCAGAGACATCTGGACCCTCTAGTGGATGAAAAAGAAATATCCTCCTTCATCTTCTGCAAGGAAAAGAGATGACATGCACACTCAACTCCTTAACTTTACCACAGCGGTGGATACTCAAGAAGGTTATTTTTTCTCGCCTAATGTTGCACTTTATTATCTGAGGAAAGGCATTGAGCTAATAATCCTGGAGTTGAATGGAGACAGCAGGGGATCATTTGCTTCTGAGCTGCCTTATAAACGTACGTCAGCTCAGCTTTTGAACAATTTATACTGCCAATACCACGTTCCCTACCTGTTTCATTATTGTACATCAAAGTACAATAACATATTTTGTACAAAGTTTACAACCAGCATTTTATGAAATTTGTGTATCATTGTAGCTAGTTTAACTAGGTAAGTGTTATCACTCTCATTTTACAGAGGAGAAATTGGAAACGGCACAGGGCAGGTGGTATATACAAGCAATTTTTCCAGGGAAAAATCTTGGAAATGCTTCCATGATTTTCTCCCACATTTGTTCTCCACATGGTACAATCAATGTACAACAATGGGGACTGCAACATTAGTTCTATGCAAATAAATTTGATGCCATAGTACCTTAATTCAGCATATTTAGGAGCAGAAGCACATTGATGAGAATGAATGGCCCTACAATTATTACAGTGAAAATGAAATAAATAATAAATAATGATAATAATCTATAAGCAATTCACCCAAGCACAAGCCCTTTCTCAGAATTACCTCTTATCAACTCTCCTGCACAATATATTTTTCTCTCGAGCTGCTTCATTTCGAAATGGTCATGAAGAGCTCCAGGGTAGGGGTGAGCATCAAATGACTTACCAAAGCTTCCCTCATGCAGTTGTCATTGATCAACAGATATTCAGTGATATCAGACACAGACACTGAGAGCATCTTCATGGAGCCCATACACCTGTCATCTGCTGTTGCTGCTAAACAGATCATCAAGGAAGGTAGGGTGGAGAGGGGAAAGGAAATGGGGACAATAGCAGGTTTATGAGTGAGGGGAGGTTGATGAGTAGCTGCTACAACTTTCAGGCAGAAGAATGGACAAGATGGTTTCTGTTCCCCTCTAGCCCAATATTTCTATATACCTGAACAGAACCTCTTTCTTCTAATAAACCAGGTTGCTCCATATCAACAATGTAGTCTGGAATTGCCAGCCTTTATCAATACACTTTTTATGGTGCACCCAGATTAAATCACAGTCCATTTATTCCACTCTAGTGTTTTCTGTATTGGCATCCCACCTTTGTGGCAACTTTTTACAATTTGAAATATTATTATTATTGAGACTTCCAAGGGTTATTGTACCTTTCATTTGAAGTTTTCTTTGTTTTTGTCTCTAATTGCTCCCAGTTCAGCATGGCAGTAGGATTGCTGATGAACTACCTTTTAATTAAGCAACTGCTGTTCCCATTGCATGGGGGCAGGGTGTATTACTGGTTTTTCTCATATTATTTGTTGTCATTTTTACTGCAAAATACTGCATTTAAAGTACAAGAAAAATAATGAATGTGATTGAGGCTTTTCCCCATGTTCTCTTCTCTTTATTTTTTATTAAATAAGAAACCAGCAGTTTCTGTTTTGAATTCAGGGGTGCTGCATTGGAATGCAGTTCAGGTATTATCTAACTGCTTGCCCTACAGCCAGACAAACTACTTTCTTCTATTCCTTCAGTATTGGAATGAAATTCTGCTTAACTCCTTGCTGAAATCCTGTGATATGACATGCTATGGTAAATAATAGGGATCAGCAATCCTTTAAGACTATATATCATCATTAATGTGATTATAGCTAAAACCAAGTGGATATATACTATGCTGACCAGTCCTTAAGAGGCTTACCAATCATAAACAATTCCAGAATATTTCTTGATACTTTGAAAATGAAAGCATTGGTTTATTCCAGAGCTGAAGACAGAGGAGGGGAAAACAGACTCTGTGTGTCCAGGGATGCTGGAATCTGCAGAGCAGCTATTTGTGGAAGACCTGTACAACCGGGTTAAGGAAAAGATAGATGACACTAGCTTGTTTAATACACCCTGTGTCATGGACTTGCAGAGGGCACTTGTGAAAGACCGGCTTGAGTCCCCAAGGAATGCCATTGATGAGGTCTGGCCGAATATCTTCATAGCAGAAAAGTGAGTAGGAAAACCTTTTATTCTTGAGCAACATTTGAGCATTGACCATCTCAAACTTTGCCACAGAATACGATCACTGTTTCTAGGTCAATAGGTAACATCTGTCAGAACTCCTCAGCCTGCCTGGCCCAAAATAACTTTATGATAAGAAGTTAACACAAATGCAAAGATGGATACTGTGAAAAATCTAATGGGTGTTGGAATGAAACCTCAAGAGAGATGTTAAATGAGTAGGTTGAGAGAATCACATGAAGCTAACTGGGTGACTTTAGACCAGTCACAGACTATCAGCCCAACGTTACTTGCATGGCTGTTATTGTGAGGATAGGATTGAGAGGATGAGGAGAATTATGTAAGCCCCCTTGAGTTCCTTGAAAGGAAGAACATGGAAGGGGATATAAATATAATAAATAAATGGACATATGTGACCTGCAGGTGAGTAGTTCCCCACATTTCCCAGTGTCTTAAGAGGCACTCAGGAGCTGATTAATAATTGTTGTTAGTCGCAAAGTCGTGCCCGACCCTTCACGACCCTATGGACAACATTCTGCCAGGCTCTCCTGTCCTCCACCATCCCTCAGAGTCCATCCAAGCTCACACACATTGACCCAGTGACTCCATCTAGCCACCTCATCCTCTGCCGTCCCCTTCTCTTTTTGCCATCAATCGTTCCCAACATCAGGATTAATGCTACTACTACTAATAATAATACAAGTACCTCAGACTATGTGAGCTGGCTTAGACCCAGAAAAATTTTGTAAGGGTATGTGGTATCAATTTATTTATTTATTTATTTATTTATTTATTTATTTATTTATACACATGTTTATAGGCCGCCTATAACTGCCAAGGCCTTCCTAGGCAGCTACAATACATTAATATCACTTTGAATTTTGTTTTCATCTTCCAGCGTATTAGCTATCCCATTTTGTGCCATCGGAAAGCCTGATAAACATTCCCTACACCTTTTCATTTTCATTAGTCTTTCATCAACACAACCAATTTGTATTTCTTGCTCCTTGAGTAGATACAGAAACTACAAACCTAAACTCTCTTCCTTTGCCTTGAAGGAGTGTTGCAGTGAATAAAGGCCGATTAAAGAGACTAGGAATCACTCACATCCTTAATGCTGCTCATGGTACTGGTGTGTATACAGGACCAGACTTCTACAATGGTATGGAGATCCAGTACTTGGGCATTGAAGTGGATGACTTCCCAGACGTGGACATCTCTAAATATTTTCGCCAGGCTGCAGAGTTCCTTGATGAAGCGCTTCTAACTTACAGAGGTAAAGTAGGCAAACTGTGCTCTTTATACATCCCATTTGTGGTTTCTATTCTTCCACATTCATTTAGAAAGTAACTATTGTGAACCCTATGCACACTAATAAATGTGCTTCTATCATTCGTACAGTGCTTTTAAATATTTCTATCAGCCTTTGAAAGGACAATTATGCTACAAACTAAGAAGATGAAAATTAGCTTATTTATCATTTGTCCCCAAGTAATAAGGAAAAGTGTTCAAGCTTCCTAAATACTACTGGGGGAGTAGGCAAGAGATAAATTCTCCCCAAAAGATAGAACATCATTATTCTTTAATGAATTTGTATCGAGGTTAACAATATTAATTTATCTACTGTAATGACTACAAATTGGGGGAAGATTTTTATTTTCTAGAAGTTGAGGATGTATACCAGTCCCACCTTGCTTTGGAAGAAATTGTTTTAAACAGTAAAATATGTGTTCAGTAGTTTCACTAATATGAAGTAACAGGGTTTTTTATTTTTCCTCTGTTAAACTTAAAATGAAAATATCTGCCAGAAGGATTGCAACCCATTTTCTTTTATGGCAATATGAATCAATAAGTCCACATAGGAGTAAAGGATGCTATAACTTCTGTGTTTATTAAAGACACAATCCTATGCACAGTTAATATTAAACTCAGTACAATATATTTATAAGTAGAATTGCACTGAAAGTAACCCCAGGAAAGGAAAACATAAAGCTTCATTTGATGATAGGCTTTTCTACATGAGATTGTTAATCCACTACATCTGCTCTTGATTTCATTGCACAATTGAGGCCCATGCACTCTATGAGAATTTCCTTTCTGCTTTTCTACTACAGAGCCTCTAGGTGGCATTATGATATGGTAGAATAACACAAATACTTGAAACATTTTTTCTCTTGTTCAGAAATAATATATCATTTTCCCTCCTTCTTTCTCTGAAATGTAAGTGAAACCAGAAATTTGCATTAAAGTCTAAAGAATCCAATATGTACAATATGTATTCTTCTTATTTATTTATTATTGAATATATATATGCAAAAGCCATACATAGTTCCAAGAACGATTTACAGAAAAGCAGTATTAAAATAGATGTTCAAAATCACATCATATCACAATTATAACAATAAAAAAATAAAAAAACATAATTGCAGAAGGCCATTTTAAATAAATCTAAAAATCTCTCTAATAAATAATAATGCCACAATAAAACAAGGAAGCCCTCCTTGAAGGAGATTAGGGGATTAGGAGGGTGGCTCCCAGGAGAAGGGCCTTCTCTGCAGTGGTGCCCTGGTTATGAAATGCGCTCCACAGAGAAGTTCTCCTGGTGCCAACACTTTATTCCTTTCAGCACCAGGCTAAAACCTTTTTATTTGCCCATTATTTTAAGGTTGACTTGGTTTCAATGTGGGTTTTATTTTACTGGAACCATTTGGATGCTGTGCTTCATTTTATTTTGTTTTTATTGTGAAACCGTCCCAAGACTTTTGTAGTGGGATGGTATGTAAAACCTTTAAGTAAGTAAATGCATCCTGTGGGAAAGCTTGACATGTGTAAAATGTTTTGGAATTTCTGTGATAAAATCCATCAATTATTTTCCAGATTTGTTTGTTTGTTTATTTTATGTCATGCCCAATCAACAAAATTGTGTAGATGCTTCATAACAAATAAAATCATAAAAGAAAACAAAAGAAAATACCATGCAAAATCTAAAAGTTTAATTTTAAAATACTGTCTGAAAACAAAAATAATAAGCAAATGGAACCTAGACACAGTTCAAAGTTTTATGATACAATACTAGATTTAAAACAGAAAGTTAAAAATATAAAATGTCTAGAAAAAATAAGTCTTCACCTGGCACTAAACAGAGTCTTTCTGGGAAATCCATTCCACAGCTGGGCTGCTACAACAGAAAATCCCCACTTGTTAGTAGCCACCCCTCATCTCTTATGGCAGGGCTTCAAGGTAGGGTGTCACTGAAGTCGATCTTAGTGTTGGGTCTGGTAGATATGGGGGAAGACAATCCTTCAGGTAACCTGGCCTCAAGCCTTCTTAAGCCTCTGAATGTTAGTACCAGCACATTGAATTAGGCCCAAAAATGGCCTGGCAGCCATCACTGAAGGAAAAGTACTGGTAGAATATGATCCCATTGGCCAGTCCATGTTAAAAATTTCACTGTCCTATTTTGGACCAGTTGAAGTTTACAGACTATTTTCAAAGGCAGCCCCACATGTAAGGCATTGCAGTAATCTGAACAAGAAGTTATCAGTATATGGATAACTTGTACTTAGGCTATCTTTGTTCAGGTAAGGATGTACTTGGTATATCAGGCTCTCATTTTAAGGTACTTATTTAATTTACTATTAAAACTTACAATGGGAGAAAATAGCCATTGTTTGTTTGATCCTGGAATTGTTTCAGAATTGCCCTAGTAATTAACCAGCTGTGTAATTTCACTTCTAGGAAAGGTTTTGGTCAGCAGTGAAATGGGAATCAGTCGCCCAGCAGTGCTAATAGCTGCTTATCTGATGATCTTCCATCACATGACAATATTGGAAGCCTTGATGACTATACGTAAAAAGCGGGCCATTTATCCCAATGATGGCTTCCTAAAACAGCTCAGGGAGCTCAATGAAAAGCTTCTGGAAGAACGAGAAGAGGAAGATGCAGAATACTCTGATGATGACACAACTGGTAGCCAAAGTTCTGTTATTAGAGTTGGAAGCTGTTCCTTGCTTTCTGGGAGAGACGATTCTGAGAGTATTATGGGAGCCAAAGTCCACTCTATAATGGTAGAGGAAGAAGACACGACAAGCCTCCTTGGAAGTGTAATGAGTGGTTCCTCAATGGGAAAATCAAGCTTGGTTTCCAAACAGCCTACTCTTATCAGTGAAGAGGAGGAGGACCAGCTCTATGAAGAATGGAAGAAGAAGCAAGGTTTCCCTGCAAGGGAGGTTTCAAACAAGGATGGAGAAAGTAAACCTTCAGGTGCTCAGGCAGAAACTGAGGAGGACATGGATCAGATGATCCAAGAATGGCAACGAAAAAATGAGAGGTACCAGAGGGAAAGCGACTTGTTTCCCAGGGAAGAGAATGAAGACTCTAGCATGAGAGAAAGACCATACCCTGGAAATGATATAAGCGATAATGAAAGTGTGAGTAGCCAAGAGATCAGGATCTTGAAACAACAGCTGGAAGCAAGTGGCATCAACAGAATGAGGAGAGGGCGCACAGACTCCATGTCCACAGAGAGCACCTGGGATATGTGGAATGAGAGGATGATGGAGATAGAAAGAGAAGCTGCTCAGAGATATAGTTCAAGACCGAGATCTGGTGATGAGACTCTAAGTCTTGAAAATGGAACAAAGGTGAGAGATCTAGATGAAGAAAGTGTATTGTCTGATGCTAGCTCTTTTTATAACTTCTGTCAAAAGAATAAAGACAAACTGACCCCTCTGGAAAGATGGAAGGTCAAGCGAATCCAATTTGGCTTTCACAAAAGAGATTTGGAGGCTTCCAAGCAACCCAAAGTGGAAGATAGCAGTGAAGAAAATAAGGAAGCTATGGAAGAAGAAAAGAACTCATCAGATATTAACCTGACAGCTTACCAAGTCTGGAAGGCTAAGCACCAGAAGAAGATTGGCAATGAAAATAAGGATGAGATTGTGGAGCTTGCTAAAGCTGAAGATTCTGCTTCTGCCAGGAGAAAGCAGAGAAGAATGGAGTTACTAGAACGCTCAAAGAAAATTCTGGAAGAAAGCCAGTCTCTCTGCAGCTGGGAGGCAGAGAGCGCGATGAGTGGAAGCATCCCTTTGTCAGCCTTTTGGCCCCCAACAGCTTCTGTAAATGGGGCAGAGGATGCTGCCTCTGCACTGAGTATGCAGACCAATCACTCATCCTTCTCTCAGACTAGGAGCAGTAGTGGGGCTGCACCAGCCCATGCAGTAGCAGCTAATATGCCCAACCTCCCTCTTGGCCCAGAGGGCACTATATCGGTTGCTAGTATTCAAAACTGGATTGCCAATGTTGTTAGTGAAACAATTGCTCAGAAACAAAATGAAATCCTGATGTTGTCTCGGCCATCTTCAGTACTGAGTTGTAATCTTAAGTCAAGTGATCTGGGCCGACACATGGATGATGACAAGACATCTTTGCTTAGTGCACAGAGTGACTTGTCTCCAGCTAGTTCACTGCGTCACCGGCAGGAGACCCAGTATACCGATACTCAGTCCTTCCTGTCATGTAACACCTCAACGAGTGGAAAGACAGGAGGATCCTACTCAAGCAGGAAAGTGATGCAGACAAGCAAGCCTTTTTACAGCCTTTTTGCTGATGAAGTTGACCTAAAAAAGCTTAACAGAAAGGAAAAAGAGATACAAATGGAGGTGAGAGAGAAAATGTCAGATTACAAGACTGAGAAGCTTATCAATGACAATAAACGTAGCACTTTATTTAAGAAGAAAAAGATAAAAGGGGACAACGAAGATGAAAATGATATAGAAAATGCAATGAATGGTCTTAAGTACCCTTTGCAAGCAGATCTCAACAGGAATGAGACAGCTTCTGTTCTCTCAGGTCAGTTTTCCAGTGGTGGTGGTGATGCTATAAGATCAGAGGTGGAGAACAATGTAAACAAATGGCTCAGAGGTCTAAAAACAGAAGAAAAGCCTTTTTACCAGGACTGCGCTGGTAGCAGTGACGAGAAATACAGGAGATCATCCACATTCAGAGAGGTAGACACTGAAACTTCTAGCTATAGAATTTCCAGATCTCAAAAAGAAGAAATGGATAGTTCTTCAACTTACCAGTGTAAAGATGACTTACAGAGAACTGCTTCACAATTTTCCTCTACTTCTACAAAAGCAGGCAAGGAGGCACGTACATTTACACGATCAAGATACTTCTCGAGTTCTCGAGAAGAAAGTCCAGAACCGCAGTTTTGCAGAACTCCAGAACCTTCCTCTAGCTCAGAAAGCTCTGAACCATCAACTCGAAGTCGTATCAGATCACGCCACTTGGAAGAGCATGAGGAGGAGTCCAGTTCAGACGTGGCTGAGTTCGGAGCCAAGAGAAAGTTCACCCAGAGCTTTGTAAAGTCTGAAGAGAATGCAGAAAAAGAAGAAAAGATAGAAGAAAAAAAAGAAGCTTTTGCATCAAGGCATTCATTCAGACACAGGCAAAGTGTTCGTAAGGAAGAAGAAGAAATGGATGATGAGGCCATCATTGCTGCTTGGAGAAATCGGCAAGAAGAAACCAAAGCCAAGCTTCGGCGACGGAGAGAAGACAGTGATGGACAGTGAGGCTGTGCCAGCTCCATGCTGCTGCCTGTTTGATGGAAAGCCTTTCAACCCTCTTCAGGAAATCAAGACTCAGTGTTCTTATTGTGATCACCTTCCGTCACACTCTCTATTTTCCACCCCACCACCATTTAGTCCTACAGATGTTCCCTTATCATTAATTTCTAAAATGAGAGAGGAAAGAGTAATCATAGCCTTTCAGAAAGAAAAAAGCAGGATTGTTGATGATATCCAACTCTTGATGTACAGAAATGTGTCAAGTGCTATTTTAGAAAAACTGCTAACAAAATTATACAAATTGACAAGAAAAGTCAAAGAAGACATCAGAAGTCCAAATAATTTGCCTCAGAGATGCAGCTTATCCTGCTTTCTAAAAACCTGGAAGAGTCACTCTCTGTATTCCTTTAGTTCCATCATTAGCTTGGAAAAAATAAATAGCCTTTACAAAAAAAAATTGAACATGTAGCTGTTTTATAGTATATATACCCTGCTCCCGTGTGCAAAGCACAATACAACTTTCAATATTCCTTTCCTTCTAACTCTCAAACCACAGAGCTTTTTCCTTCTCTTGTGTATATCAGTACAGAGGAAACTACAGAGAGAATAAATGTAATGTGTGTTCCCATGACAACTTGTAACAGAGAAAAATATCAATCATCAGTCACATGGGGAGACTTTGTTGAAGGATTTTAATTTTGTTTGCTATAAAGGAAATGATACTAGAGATGCAATTTACCTTTGAAACAGAACTGTAGGTCTAGCCCTATCAAGCATATGCTGCAGCTCTGGGTATCCCTTTTAAATGTAAATTCATCTAGGCTATGTTGTGTTGTGTAGGGGATACAATCACTTGTACTGAAATATTCTGAGGTAAAAGATATTCAGCCCATCTGCTTCTTTGCTGTGCATAAACTGCAGAAGAGTTTTCTGAAAGTCAACTGGTCAGTGTAAATCAGATGACAAAGGCAGCTGCCTATAAGAGCTTCAGGGTCAAGCCTGTATGGCTGATCTGACCAACAAGCATCCTGGATTGGTCGAACAGACCATTTCATTTCAGATTGCCTGTGGAGAATCTCATTCTGTTAAAACTGCAAGTACTTTGCAATCAGAAAACTAGCACAACAAAAAGTGCTCTAGGCCACAACCTTTTCTTCTGATGTGTGCAGCTTTTTAAAAATTCTAAATTTGCTGGGAGCTTGACGGATAAAGAGAAATAAAAAAGAATGTCCCCGCCCCAACACCTGCAACCTAAAGTGGTTGCCGTGAAGGACTGGCTGCAAGTTCAAGGAGCTCTTTGACAAAGTGGGTCCCTTCTACCTTGCTGACTCCCTGGCCCTGGGCTTAGCTAGCAGCAGGAGGTGAATATAGAGCTTCATTTTCAATTTCCCATGATGCCCCAGTGTAGCATTGGGCATTGTGGAAAATGTTAAATGCCATTTGTCAACCAAGTCACATAGTACAGGGAGCACAGGGAAGGTGTCTGCACCTGTGGGCCCTACCTGGACACTGGATCCACAGCAGCTGCCCAAAGGTGCTGGGTGCTGCTTCTAGGTTTTGTGCAGGCTACTCTACCATTTCAGTATCCTGTCATTTCATTCTTCTGCAAGCATATTAGATTAGAGTCTCATTCCCAAATCATTTTTTCTTTCCAAAAATGCAAATAACATTCCTTTTTTTCTGCTTCCCTGCCAATTTGAACAGTGTTTCCAATTGCAGTTGCTTTGGTATGAACTAGATATATAGAAATAATTATGGCAGTCCATCATTCTTGAAATAGGATGCTTGTTGTTTGATTCTTTTTAAAATGGGTGAAGATGGTTAAGCCTCAGTCTGTCCTTCACGTGCTCCCACTTCTCTGTGCTCTCTTTGGAAACAGGTTTAAGTCCATCTACTTTCATATTTTCAAACAAAACTCATGAAAGGGCCATAAATACCATGACTTGTTAAAAGGAAAGCCGTTTTTTCTTTCCCCCATGAGACCCCTTCCTGTGAGAGGGGCAGAGAGAGTTCAACTCTTTGAAGAATTCTCCTTCTGTTAAAGTAGCTGCATCTGAAAGCTGTCTTCTGGGTTTTGTTCCTAACATCATCTTGACTAGGCTTTGCCATGGCTCCTCTCTCTCTGTTGCCTCTGCAAGTGTGAAGGAGGATCAGTAGTAGATAGGGAAAAGAGTTTAGTTTGCACATTTCAGCTATTCCTGGGGCTAAAAAACACTAGATATGAAAAATTCAGAAAGTCCCTCCCCTTTCAGTGCAGAAAGTTCAGATCATCAAACCATACCTGTATGCTAACATTAACAACATGAAAGTTAGCAATTATGATCCTGAGATGACAATCTTTCTTGCCCATGATTTTCTGAGATTTGCTATGATATTGATAACATGCCCCTCCCATAGGTTTGTTCCAGGGATAAATCTCTGTAGGAGGAGGCACCAGTGAAATAATGGCCCAGGTCTATTACTGATTTGTTCAAATTTATTTAACAAAAGAAACACCAAATGCCCCTTGAAATATTCTTGCAAAGATCTGGGCTTCACAAAATCACAGCTGATTATAGAGAAGTCTTACAAACTTAATTTTATCTTCAGGATTCTAACTGAGAAGGACTCTGGGGTAGATGGGATAAAACCCCACGTAGAGAATGAGAAAACTCATTTTTGTGAAATGATTCTGTGAAAGAGTGGGAGTTACGTTTTGGCAGCCAGAAGAGTTACAGTCATGTGAGGTGGAATCTTTTGCCAAGAAAGTAGGCTTCAGAAAACTTATTCTTTTGCATCTGAAGAATTGAGACTGAGAGCAAAACTGAAGAACACTTTCTGCCTGCTAACCTTCCAGTTATTTTATGGGAAAGTCTCCATTCTGTGAAACAGAGCGAAGAAAGTGATTTCCTCTGAACATTGTATCATCCAAATGATTATATTTTAATTAATTAATTAATTAATTATTAAAAGCTTTTGTATGCCGTCCTATTACACAAGATCTCAGGATATTTAAAAAGACAATTAAAACAACAATTTCAATAAATAATAGAACAGAACAAAACAAATTGCAAAACAAACAGAGCGACTAAACTTAAAAACTATTAAAATTTAAAATACTGTTTTGGTCTGGTGCCGAAAAGAGTATAAACATGGCACCAGGCGTACCTCCCTGGGGAGTACATTCCAGAGTCTGGGCGCCACAGCAGAGAAGGCCCTACTCTGAGTTGACCTTTTTATCTCTCTTAGAGAGGGTTCCTGGAGTAGGGCTTCTCCCTTAGATCTTAAGGGGCATGAGAGCATATAAGGAAGGAGACATTCCTTCAGGTATCCTGGTCCCAAGCCATTTAGGACTTTATAGGTCGAAACCAGCACCTTGAATTGAGCCCAGACTTCAACTGGAAGCCAGTGCAGCTGGTAGAGAACCGGCGTTATATAAGAGTAATGGCCGGTTCCTGTCAGCAGCCTGGCAGCTCTATTTTGCACCAATTGAAGTATCCAGACCGTTTTCAAGGGCAGCCCCACGTAGAGCACATTGCAGTAATCCAAGCAGGAAGTTACCAGAGCATGTATCACTGTTGCTAGGGAGTGCTCATCCAGGTAAGGATGCAACTGATGGATCAGTCGAAGTTGTAGGAAAGCACTTCTTGCCACCACCGCCACCTGGAACTCCAGTGACAGCTCTGGATCAAGGAGTACTCCCAAGCTGTGGAACCTGTCCTTTAGAGGGAGTGCTACCCCATCCAGAACTGGGTCAAAATCACCTTGGTGACCCGCACCGCCCACCAACAGGACTTCCATCTAATCTGGATTGAGGCTCAGTTTATTGGCCCTCATCCAGCCCATACTGATGACTCTGCAGCCCAAACCTCCTGATGACCTCTCCCAGCGGTTTCATGTAGATGTTAAATAGCATGGGGGACAAAATAGAGTCCTGCGGAACTCCATGGCAAAGCTGCCATGGCACAGAGCTATAGTCCCCCAGCACCACCATCTGGAATTGGCTGGCCAGATAGGAGTGGAACCACTGCCACACAGTGCCTCCTACTCCCAATTCCGCCAGCCTATCCAGAAGGATACCATGGTCGATGGTATTGAAAGCTGCTGAGAGGTCCAGGAGAACCAACAGGGACACACTCCCACTGTCCCTCTTCCTGCACAGGTCATCATACAAGGTGACCAAGGCAGATTCAGTACCATACCCGGGTTTGAAGCCAGACAGAAATGGGTCCAGATAATCAGTTTCATCCAAGAGTGCCTGGAGTTGTCCCACCACCACCCACTTTAACACCTTGCCCAAAAACATAACATTTATTTATTTATTTATTTATTTATTTAAGGCATTTTTATGCCGCCTCCCCTTTGCAAAAAGGCTCGGGGCAGCTTACAAAATATTAAAGTTGTCTAAAGTTGGTGGCCATCTCTGGGTCCAGAGATGCCCTCTTCAGGACAGGCCGGATCACTGCCTCCTTCAAGGGGACTGGGACCCAGCCCTCCCTCAGTGAGCCATTAATAACCTCCTGGACCCAGGGACCAATCCTGTAACTGGCCTCCTTAAGTAGCCAGGAAGGGCAAGGGTCAAGAAGACAGGTGGTAGGATGTATATCCCAAGCACCTTGTCCACATCACCAGGCTGCAATAACTGAAACTTATCCATTAAAGATGGACCAGATGGAGCTCTGGACACTTCCCGTACTGGAACAGTATCAACTGTGGAGTCCAGATCGCGGTGAATCTGAGTGATTTTTTCCTTAAAGTGCTGGGCAAAGTCATCACAGTGGGCTGCCGAAGGTGCAACCACATTGTTTTCCTGGCCAACATATGTTAGGCCTCACACTATTTGGAAAAGCTCCGCTGGATGGCACTGTGAGGAAATGATGGAAGCGGAGAAGAACTGCCTCTTCGCCGCCCTCACCACCACAGCATAGGCTCGATGATGAGCACGTAAGTGTGTTTGGTCAGATTCGTCCTGAGACTTCCTCCACCTGCACTCTAATCATCTCTCAGCCTGCTTCATCGCCCGCAACTCAGGAGTATACCATGGTGCTGAGTGGGCTCTACTAGGTGGGAGAGGACGCTTAGGAGTGATCATGTCGATTGCCCTGGTCATCTCCCATGAATCGACCAGGACATCAACAGGAGTGCAAGCTTTATCAGCCGGAAAATCCCCCAGAATGTTGGCTTGGTGAATTAATGCGACCTCCCTCCCCTCCCCTCTGCACGTGATCGGTGTTGTACCAAGTATCCAGGCGGGCATAATTGCATGAGGGAGACATCTCTCCCTTCACCCGCCCAGGTCTTGGTAATACATGCCAGGTCAGCCCCCTCATCCAAGATCAAGTCATGAATGAGGGATGTCTTGTTATTTTAAGGAAATAATTTGTGGTAACTCTGGCCTTCTTGTTTTCCTTATTTAAATAACAAGCTCCTCATAGAGATGGTAAAGATTTTAACTTCCTTGAAGTAAAAATTCCAGAGAAAATTCCAGGGCTTCCCTTTCTGCCTGATTGAGGCCAAGCACTCACTAACAGCAGCTGAGGTTTATAACTTGTGTTAAAATTGTATCACCACAATCAGTAGGCAAGGGCTCATGTAAAAGGCTACTTCTCCAAAAATAAATATTTCTGTATGCATAGAAAACTAGCAGACCAGGGACACATTTAGTTTTCTGTGTTTGGAAAATTATTAGTTTAGAGTGTCACTCAAACTTGCAATTCAAGTGATACATTCCAAATGTAAGTTTTCACCTAGTTTGTAAAAAGCAAGTCTCAGCTGCATTTGCACTGAAGAAGAAAGTGCTCCTGTACTTTTTTCTTCATTCTTCTTAGATGTGACTGTGGATTTTCCCATCAGAGTTATAAAAAGTCTGGCAAAGTATGATAGATACAGCCTGTTTACCCAGAGTGTCATTATGTGTGTCTTTAGTGCCACAAAAGACTGAAAAAGTGGAGAATTTTTTTTTAAGTATGGAGAGATTTTTGTTTAACAAAGTATGTTATGTGTTTTCCATGGAGGAGTATGCAAAAAAGGGAGGGCTGATGTTTGGTCATCTGACCTCACCTCTCTAATCTGACTGTACTTTGCACATGTTTAGAAGTTTTCTTTTAAACATAGCTTAGAGATCTAATAAGCAGGTTTCCATGTATTATTCATGCTTCATGTTTTTAGTTTTGTTCTTTTGTGGCAACTTGCAGATTTCATTGGGCCAGATTTTGACCTTATTCACATGAACAGTGACTTCAATTAAAAAGCACATCAAAATCACAAATATGCTTAAGGATACAATCCTATGTGAGTTTGGACAGACAAGGTATTCTGCAGAGAGGCAATATAGCCCTGCAGAATACTAAGACTTTTGTATAGGACAGGATAGAAATGCCTTAAATAAGTAAGTAAGTATGTAAGTAAATAATACAGGGAGCTGTAGGACTTCTTTCAAATACCGTATTTTTCGCTCTATAAGATGCACCTAGTTTTTAGAGAAGGAAAACAAGAAAAAAAATATTCTGAATCCAATGGTTTACTAAACTATTTAATAAACTACAACAGAATACAGTAATACCATATTTCAACCTTGTAAAGTGAACAGCAGTCAACAATGGCATTAAGAACCATCATCACTGTCATTAACAAAAGAGAGACTTTAAAGTTCGAATACTCTTCTAGTTTTCGTTGAACCCATAGAACTCATCATCACTAGAGTCAGAATTTA